ATTCAAAAGATCAATATTTGACAGTGTTATGATGAATTTATATATACTGATTTGGTGAACCAGAGGACTAAGCTCATGATGCCCTACAACGTAGAATTGAAGAGTTTGAGATGGCAGCTAAAAGTGCGCCCCCTATTCCAGACAAAGTTGACGATGAATATCATGATGAAGGTCTCCATCGCATGCTTCCCTTCAAGGCTAGCTGTGAGGAAGGTAGCCCGTCGTTAGGGATCCTATTTCCTTTATGCCCTTGGCCCTTAAAAACCTAGGACTTTACACTTTTTTGGGTGTGTTAGAATTTGAATTCCTGACTGTTTGGGAGACCTTAAATTAAAATTGAGTTTGTCGTTACTTTTTTTTTTTATAAGAAACCAATAGAGAGTCGCCAATAAGTTTTAGGAAAACTCATAAACCTCATTCATGTCTTTCTCCCAAGTAGTGTTCAAGGGATAATTACCATGAATCATAAGTTTACCTATGCCCAAATTGGTCTACTAAACCAGAAATGAGTTGGGGAGCGAGGGTACTAGAAAAACGTTCTCTTTGAAAATCGCAATCCTACCCCTGGTGTGGCCTCTACTAGCTCTTCCTTTTCCATAATTTCATTACCAAATAATATATGAGACGCGATTTCTAAAAACTAAATTAGTTGATTTTATTTACAAACATTAATCATAAAAAGTCTACATAGCAAAGAATGTCGTTATTCTTTTTAATTCAAATCTGTGAAAGGAATAAGAAATAAAATTAGCATTTACAAAGATAATATAAACTATAAAATAACATTTCATTAACCATAGGAAAAATTAAAACTAATAATCCCACCTGCTCAAAATAATCTCACTTTTGAATAATCTAGAAATAACCCCACATTTTATATCAAATCTTCTCAAAACAGGTCTTCTGACCTATAATTTGTTTAATAGGTAAAAAAAAAATAAAGTTTACCCCCTAAATCTCTCTCCTCTCCAAAACTATCACTTCACTTCCAGGTCTGCCACCAACACCACCATCACCACCCTAGAGAACATCATACTCTCACTATCCGAAAACACAACCCCATCTCCCAACCCCCTTCTATGGCAACCCACCACCCCACCTATACGCCTATCACCGACCAACCATACAATCATACATCCATTGTCACAACCACCATAATTACCACCCTGTCACAATCACCAACTCACCATAATCTCCACTCCATCACAATTTCGAAGAGCTTAATCTCTTTATCCCATCTTTACTTTGTGTTAGATAATGTAAACTACTCCCTTTGCGTTGGAGTGTATTCCATTGATTCATATATGTAGGGTTACAACCATGAATCCTATTATCATAGGAAATCTCAAAAGATATCTACAGAATATTCACAAAACTATATCCTTCTATACAAGATAATATCTAGAATCTTTATCATATTCGATCACACCCCCGCAGTCATAGCGGGAGGAGGACAGACGCTGAGACTAGATCTAAACTCCAAAAATAGTTGTTGAGAGAGGCCTTTCGTGAAAATGTCTCCAAATTGATAACGAGATGGAACGTGCAAGACCCGTACATGCCCCAACGCCACTTTCTCACGAACGAAATGAATGTCCATTTTGATGTGCTTGGTGCGTTGGTGCTGTACGGGATTATGAGATAAATAAATTGCACTGACATTATCACAATAAACAACAGTGGCCTGCCGGAGAGGGCAATGTAACTCGAAAAGTAGATTACGAAGCCAACATGCCTCGGCAACAACGTTAGCGACGCCTTGATATTCAGCCTCTGTACTAGATTTAGAAACAGTATGTTGATGCTTAGACAACCAGGAAATGAGATTATCCCCTAGAAAGAAATAGTAACCCGACGTCGAGCGACGGGTGTCTGGACACCCGCCCCAATCTGCATCAGTATAAGTAATCAAGTGCATGGATGAAGAAGGATATAAGTGTAACCCATGATCAATAGAGCCCTGAATGTAACGCAGGATGCATTTCAATGCATCATAATGAGCTTGTTTGGGATCATACATGAATAAACACACCTGCTGGACTTCATACGCTATGTCAGGGAAAGTGAAAGTGAGGTACTGTAGATGCACCTGCAAGACTACGATAGAGTGTTGGATCATGAAACTGAGGGCCTGTCTCTGCACTAAGCTTGGATTGAGTATCCATTGGAGTCGCCGCAGGTTTAAAACTAGCCATGCCTGCGTGCTCTAGAATTTCCTGTGCATATTTCGGCTGAGACAAAAACATATATGAAGGAGTACGAGTAACAACAATGCCCAGAAAATAATTGGGAGGACCTAAGTCAGTCATCGGAAATCCAGTGCGTAAGTGAGAAATGATGCGGTCATGCAACAGATTTGAAGAAGTAACCAACACAATATCATCAACATATAATAGCAAATATGCCATGTCTTTCCCATGTCGGAAAATAAATAATGAATCGTCACTTTTAGCAATGACAAACCCCATCTGCAAGAGAAAGTTAGCAAATCGCTGATACCAAGTCCTTGGAGCTTGTTTAAAACCATACAGAGCCTTGCGAAGCCTGCAAACGTGGCCCGGAAACCGCTTGTCAACAAACCCAGGAGGTTGATGCATGTACACACACTCATTCAGATCTCCATGCAAAAAGGCATTTTTCACATCAAGTTGGTGAACAGACCACTGACGAGCCATAGCCAAACTCAAAAAAGTGCGTATAGTGGCCGGTTTAACAACCAGACTGAAGGTTTCATCACAATCAACACCTTCTACCTGAGACCTGCCATGACAAACTAATCGAGCTTTGTGTCTTTCAAGATCACCATTAGCATTCATTTTGTGATGAAATAACCACATACAGTTAACAATGTTCACCCCCACAGGCCTAGGAACCAAATCCCATGTCCCCGTTTCAATTAAAGTACTATATTCATCACGCATCGTAGCATTCCAATTTGGGTCGGAAAGGGCTTGTTTGTGATTTTTTGGAAGCGGGGAACGAATGATGGCGGATAGACCGAACTTCGGGTTTGGTTTAACTATTCCGTGCTTTAGATCGAGTTTGCATTTAAGGTGATAATGGCGGTGGTCTAGTCGGATTAATTGGCGTTAGGCCGCGAAGGGTGGGTGGTGTGTATGTGGATGAGGTGCTTGGAGAAGTGATGTTGGGTTGATTTGAGTGCTGTGAGGTAGTTGGCGAAATGGGTTGTTGGGGTTGTTGCTAGGCCGTAGGTGTGTGGTTTGTGGAAGTAGCCTGTCAGGCCATAGGAGGGGATGGCAGTGAAGGCCGCAGCCCAGCTGTGGCTGATGGAGCAGCGCCACAACCCGCCTATGGAGTGGGCTGCTCGGTGTGGCGTGCTGGTTGGGTCGTTGGCCGCAACCCACCTGTGGCTTGCTAAGCAGTGCCACAACCCGCCTGTGGAGTGGGCTAGTTGGGTGCGCGTGGTGTGGGTTGCATACGGATGTGGTGTTGCGAGATTGGTGAAGGGTCATCCGACGCTAGAAAATCATAGTCATTGGATTGAAACTTAGTGAGATGTGTAAATGGAAGAGTACTTTCATCAAAAGTGACATGACGAGAGATTATGATTTTATTGGTGGTGATCTCCAAACACCTATAGCCTCTATGATCGGGAGGATAGCCATAGAAAACACATGGGGTGGAGCGAGGTGCAAGCTTATGAGGCATTGTTGCTCATAAGTTCGGGAAACAAAGACACCCAAAGACCCTAAGATGAGTATAGGACGGGACAACCCCAAATAAAGCTTGAGCCGGAGTGATTTGATTGAGAGTTTTGGTAGGCATAATATTTAGGAGATAAGTGGTCAGTGGTCGTTTCTAAGGCATAATGCCAAAAGGCCGGTGGAAGTGATGCATGAAACAATAGAGTACGCTTAACATTGTTAAGAGTATGAAGTCTAAAGACACTGAGCCCTACGGGCATTATTCAGCTCTGTCGCCACTTAGACTAACGTCTAAGTCTTCGAACCTGGCATCACCTTGTAACAGAACGTGCCCTCCTACCTAAAGCAGTCGCAGCCGGGGATATCTTCTTTTTTGCTGGATGTCGTCTTTGCGCACCAACAGGAGTAGGTCCATGCGTTCGACTTTGCCATTTTGAGAAGATGTGTGAGGACAAGAGAAGCAAAAAACCAATCCATTTTCGACACAAAATAATTTGAACGGGTCATTGTCAAGTTCTCGACCATGATCACTTTGAAAAGATTTAATAGGACGTTCAAATTGGTTACAACATATTGTCGAAAATTGAGAAAGGTTTGAAAAGCTTGAGACTTATATACATGAGGAATAGTCCACACATAATGTGTATAATCTTCCAATATAACTAGATAATATTTGTGACCTTTATCACTACGAATAGGAGAAGTCCACAAATCGGCATGAATAATGTCAAAAGCAGAATAAGTAGTGCTATTGGAATTATGAAAAGGAAAGTGAGTATGTTTTCCTAATTGACAACCTACGCAAATAGTGGAGTCGTGCTCCTTATTACAATCAATCAAATTTTTACTTCTAAGAAAATTAAAGGTGGGTGCCCCTGGATGTCCTAAGAGGTTGTGCCACGTGGATGGAGACAAGGCTGTGAGAGAAGTGGCTAGACATGTTGCCGGTGTTGTGGTCACATGATAAAGGTCCCCGGTACTATTGCATCTGGTTATTAGATTCCCCGTTCGTAGATCCTTCATAGAAAAACCATTAGGATCAAACTCTATTGACACAGAATTATCAGAAGTAAACTTTCTAACAGAAATTAAATTTTTGATAATTTGGGGAGCTAAGTAAACATCACGCAAGGAAAGAGATTTATTAGCAATAGTGGAATGACCATAACCCGTAATTGGATTGCGTTGACCGTTACCCACTTGAATATAATTAGATGTGCTTAAATTATAAAGGGGTAAGAGATTACCGGCATTATTTGTCATGTGGGAAGTGGCTCCAAAATCCATGTACCATGACGAATCGTAATTGGGAAGACTCATTGTTGCGAACGCATTTCACAGTTTAGTTGGAGTCATTGTCGAACCATACTCCGATCCATGAGAAGAGGAAGCTACGTAGGACTGTTGAGGAGACCCAAAGAAATAGGCATGCTGTGGCCTTGTTTGCTGACGCGGGTATGGAGGTCCTGGGCTAGTCCACTGTTGAGGATAAGGGAATGGCGCCTGACCCCATTGCAGGGAGGCTTGCTGGGCCTGATTGGGTGGGCCATTCCACTGTGAAGGCTGTTGAGGTGCGCCCCATTGTGGGCCTGATTGTTGTTGTTGCTGTTGTGGAGAACCTCGGCCACGATCCCTGCCTCGTCCTCGGCCGTGACCACGACCACGGCCACTGGAGCCGCCACCCTGACTAGCCGGTGTCGCCTGCTGCTGTTGTGTGGCCGTGGAGTTTGTAGTGGTGCCGGACTGAGCCACAAAAGAGGAGTCCTGTGACGATGAGTCATTGGCTCGCCGTGACTCCTCAAGTAGCAACCGAGACCTCGCTGTTTCGAATGAAGGCAACGGAGTTGTTTGTTGTATCATCGCAGCAACAATATCAAAATCCGTATTCACTAGTCCCGAAACTAGCCGAATTACGAGTTTTTGCTCCGACACAGGTTGATCAACATTAGCTAGTTGATCCTTCAAATTTTTTAATTCTCAACAATAAGAAGAGATGTCAGAGAATTTTGATAGATGCAATTGATTAAATTGATTTTCCAGACAAAACCACTCTAGTGGTTTTGTTATCTTGGAAAATTTCCTTAAGTTTATCCCAAACTTGTTGTGCCGTATCCCCTTTGCACAAGATTGTTTCTAGCAAATCAGTAGAGATAGTACCATAAATCCAATTCTTGACAACGGAATCAAGCCTTTTCCACATAGTGTCGGAAAGGTCTGTAGGACGTGGTATTTTTGGGTCAATATGATCAAGAACATCAAAAGCATGAGCATGACACTCAAATAACTCAACCCAATTGGAATATTGGACTTTTTCACGATCAAGAATTAGAGGAATGGCATTCTTAATGTTACTAACGCCAAGAGCCGGATGAAAGGCTGTGGATTCTCCGCCCTTGACCATGGTGGAAGACGATAGTGGTGTTAGGGGTGGCTAGGGGGGACGGCTAGGGCACAAAAGAAAAATAAAAAATTCGGGAAAAGGGAAATAAAAATTTGCGGAAGCTAGGTTTGCTATTCCGTCTTTTTTTTTTTTTTTTTTTTTTGGACTTGCTCGGAAACTCCGACCTTTGGCTCTGTTATAATCACCATTTACCAAATTCAACCCCAAAATAGTACTACGTGCAAATATACATACATAAACAAATTAATTGATTATTGAGGTTGTTATGAGTTGATTCAAATGAATCAATTTTTTTGGTGTTGAAATGTTCTTCGATTTAAGATAAATTAGGATTATCTGGTTTGGCAGCAATCAAAATTGTATTGCTGGAACCTTAATTTTAATGGAGGCGTTTAGTTTGTGGGATTTGAAGGTTTGATTGAGTTGTTGTTGTTTGTTGATTCGATTAGGATTTGTGGGCTTGTGGGATTTTGTTATTGTTGTTGATGATTAGATCAAAGTCTCCTCTTTACCCACCCACCAAATAAATTTCAAATATAGTGTATATGCTACGGTAATAAGCAAGTATGATAGTATGGTTTTTTTTTTTTTTTTTTTTTTTTTTTTTTTTTTTTTTTTTTGTGGGTTGATTAAAGAGATTACTAAAGCATTGTTGGTGGTGCGTTACCTGGACAGAACAGTGGTTGGTTGAAATGGTGGGCTGCCATTGAAGAGTAAGGGAAGAGGACTAGAGGAGGGGGAAGAAGCGGAAAGAGGTTTTTAAATTTTTTTTTCTAAATAATTAGATCAATAACCGAAATTGACATGTGGCAAGCTACCTATTTTAACAGGTTACCATCCTTACAAAACCGGTCATGGCCTATTTTGAGAAGATTAATATCAAAGGTGGGATTATTTCGAGATTATTCAAAGATGGAATTGTTTTGAACAGTTCACTGAAAGGTGAGATTATTAGTTTCAATTTTTTCTTAACCATAACCAAAGTATAAGAAGGGAAAGATATCCATTTCTAGCGACCTAACTTTAAGCACTGGAAATGGAGTGTCAATATTCTTGGTTTACCTTCTTGTCCTTGCGTGCGTTTCTTTTGAGACTGAGCAAGATATCTTTGTCGCTTAAGCCCTCCCATTTCCCTCTCCATCTATATATGATAACAAGGCTTTAGTCATTCAATATAATTAAAGAGCACTCCCATTCTCCCTCACTCTTGCATTTTTTAGGGGTGGGTATCAGATAAGATTGGGTTTGTGTTTCAAACTTCTGACTTCTTTAAAAAAATCAGAACAAACCTTTAAGAATTTCAGAATATTCAACACAGAAAAAAGGATGATTCTGGTTTGAGCAAAAGTAATCCCAAAGTGTAAAGTTACTCACGAGCTAGGAAAACATACCTTCTGGATTTTGACGTTTGTTGAATAACCATATTAAAGAGCAGTATGACCATTAATTAGGAAAGTCATAAAACAAACACTCTTTGTCTGATCTTTTCTAATCGCTTCTACTCTCTTTAACACTAAATAGAATTAATAAACGGTTGATCCTAACTCTCTTTTTCTTATTTTTATTGAACCTATTAGCAAACTTTTGATTTAATCAAATTGCATTCTCAAATTGACTTTCATTTGATTCAAAAAGCTTTATTTGAGTATGAATTTTGACTTTATTACACTTCGTATTAAAGTCAATCGAATGACCTAAAAGTATGTACCGTCCAAAGTGCAACACTTGATTAAAAAAAAAAACAAATAAATAAATAGAGTATGTTGTTGGCATGGGGTGTAATATATTCTTAATGGGCGTTTGCTACTCTTGAGTGAGAGATGAGCTGAATCAAGGGTTCAGTGATGATAGGTGGATGAATAGCGATCGAGCAAGTATAAAGTTGCTAACAGTTATAAGTGGCTCCAGGGACCTGGAAATAAAAAAGCTTAACCTTGGACTAGCTGGGTTTGCTGAAATAAATTTAATATTCCAAAACACTCTATGATTTGCTAGTTAGCAATTCAGAAACTGTTGAGAACTCGGACTAAGCTGTTTAGTAAAGGTGTGTGTGACAGTTTTCTTTGTTTACTTTGTGGGGAGGAGCCTGAAACTGAAGAGCATTTGTTTTATTCCTATCCCTATAGCTTAAACTGTATTAAAGAGATCTGTCCATGGCTTGGGTTTCAGATAGTTCAGGTTGGAATAGAGGTGGCTTGAAAGAATGGAGAAGGGTTATGACTTCTAAAGTGCAGCAACAAGCTAGCCTTGCAGTGCTTGCTGCTGTTACTTACCACATTTGGAAGACTAGGAATCATGCACTCTGGCAGAGAGCTATTGTGCAGCCTAGTATAGTGGTGCGTGCGAGCTATCAAGTAGGAAATTTGTGGTAGATTACAACAATTAATCTCTCATAAATAATCGAGCTCAAAGTGACTGTAAATGGTTACATAGCCTTAAGTGTACAGTGTAGTGTTTTGTTTAGTTGTTGGTTTGGCCCATTTTGGGTTGTTGTAGTTTGTAGTTGGTGTTTGTTTGGCCGGTTGCGGCATTGTAGTGCTGGTGTGTTGTTTGAGGGCTTGCCCTCCCTCGTTTTTGGTAATAAAATCTCTTACTTAAAAAAAAATAAAAATAAAACTTATTTAAAAAAGCTCATCTTTGACAAAATTTTTAAAATGCACGAAAATCTCTTTTAGAAAATAGAATACAATCAAGTAGTATGTACAACATTATAGTAGAGGATTCTAATTTTAAGTTAATTGAAAAAATTAGACGTCATACAATAATCTTCGTATTACCACTAATAAACAGAGGAGCATATCCTTAATTTGAGATGGCTTATGCATATTCGAATACATACCTCATGAGTATAAATGAAAGCCAAATAAGCGACATTGCATCATGCTTCATAAAAAACTGCAAATATATATATATAAAAATACATTAGTAAACACGAGCATGAATTACAAGCATTTAGATAAACATCATAGATTAAACATGTTGAATGCATCATGTCCTCAATTCGCACAACCTTCCTTTGATTAAAGGGTGATTCAAATGTCATTTGATTCAATTAGCTTTGTTGAATGCAGTTGACTTTCATTTAATTCAAAAAGCTTTGTTCGAATGTGTTTGACTGCATTTCACTTTCCAAGTCTCTCTGATAAATTTTACGTGTTTGACTTTCATTATGTTGAGTATTCATAATTTGGTGTGTAAACCTTCTGAATGCCAGTGTATAACTCCCTTAACAAGTCAAATGTAAATAAATGGAGGTGGGTTGAATATTTCTGATCCACTTGCTAGTACTATTGAAGTTAACCCTTCCATCAAGTAATTAAAATGAAAGTCAAATGCATTCACCAAAGCTAATTAAAGTCAAACACATTAATTTGGTTTGAAGGTATGTCTTCCTTTTTTTTCTATTAATTTGGTTTGAATTTTTTTTGTTCTTAGATCTAGTTTGCAACATTTTTTTATTTAGATTTTTTTTCTGTTTTTTGTTTTTTACTTTTTCGGATTTTTTATTCTTTTTTTTTTTTCAAATTGTGGATGGTGGTGGAAGGTGGTGGTGTGTGGGTGGTTGTCAAGGAAGACGGGTACAAGGTAGATGTTTAGATTTTTTTTTCTATTTTTTAATACTCATTTTTTCGGATATATATATATATATATATATATATATTGCGGGTGGTGGTGGAGGGTGGTGGTCAAGGTAGACGGGTTCAACGGAGTATTAGACAGGGAGGATGGGTACGGTGTTAGGTGGGGTGGTGGTGGGTGGGTACGGTTGGTGGGTGGAGATGGGGTTAGTTGTGGTGGTCCGGTGGGTTAGGGTTTGGGTGGGGTAGTCTGGGTGGGTTGGAGGTGGCTAGGGCTGTTGGTGGGTTCAGGTAAGGTGGGTTCAGGTTAGGGGGGCTGGTGTGGGCTGGTGGTCGGGGTGGGGGGAGGCATTTTTTTTTTTTGTTTTTTTATTGATTTTTCCGACGGAAATTTCGGCGGAATAGTATCCGTCGGAAATTTCTGACGGACTATTCCGGTGCCGGAATTCCTCTTCCGATGAAACAATTCCAACGAAAATTCCGTCGGAAAAGGTCGTTTTTCCTACAAAAGATTTTCCGACAACCAGTTTCGACGGAAATTCCGTTGGAAACGGGTTTTCCGACGGAATTTTGGGTGTTTCCAACGGAATTTTTCCGTCGAAAATGGCCTGTTTTCTAGTAGTGCAATCTGCCGATTCAAACAAGTCATTGTGATGTCCATAACTTATTCGTTTTATTGTGTTTGAATGTCATTTGATGCAATAGTGAGTTTCATTCAACCATTCAAACGAAGTGGTGCAATTGTATTCCATACTAATAGGAAAACCAAAGACTACTAGACCAATTTAGCCACACTATTCAGACTTCCCTAATCTAGAGAGATTTTCCTTGATTTTTAGAGAGAGGAAGTAGTGTAATGTTCAATTCTCCATTGTAGCACTTGATTTCTTTTGAAGTTAATCTCAATCCAAGCTTTTGTTGAGTAATTCCTTTCCCCTTTTCTCTACTATTTTGTTTATTGCTTTCCTTTTGATTTATTGTCTTTGTTTGTGAGTAAATGAAACAATTGATGAAACTGAGAGTATTAAACTCATGATTTATATGTTTAAAGGAATCTCTTCAGACGTGGGCTTCGCGAATGATTCGCTGTTGTTTTTGTTAAACAAAATATTTTAACAAAGATTAATATTTTGTGAATTCATATTAATCTTTGTTAGAATATTTGTTTAAGGAGCTGGTACTATATATGCATGTTTGTTAGAATATTATTATGGTATAATTTTTTCTTTGTATGTTAGCTGGCTACCTTATATTATGTCATTAATATCAATAATAATAAGATTATTATTACTCGAGAATTATTTTGTACAGTAGTAAAAGACAGTTCACCTAAGCTAATTTAGTAATTTATCCATAACTAAATAAACAATTAGTGGTCATGGTTAATTACCTTCCTGGTATTCAAACACATTCAAACAAAGT